GAAAAGAGAGAAGAATCGAACAGTTGCAACAAAAAATGATAAAGAGGATATCACCACCGATCCCATAGAAGTACAAACTACCATCAGAGATTATTACAAACAACTCTATGCACATAAACGAGTAAATCTAGAAAAAATAGATAACTTCCTGGACACTTACACCTTCTGAAGTCTAAACCAGGAAGAAGTTAAATCCCTAAATGGAGCAATAACAAGGTTTGAAGTTGAGGCAGCTATTAATAGCCTACCAACCAAAAAAAGTCCAGGTCCAAATGGGTTCACAGCTGAATTCTACCAGAGATACAAAGAGGAGCTGATACCATTCCTTCTGAATCTATTCCAAACAATATTAAAAGAGGGGACTCCTCCCTAACTCATTTTATGAGACCAACATCATCCTGATACCAAAACCTGGCAGAGACACAACAAAAAAAGAAAATTTCAGACCAATATCCATGATGAACATCAATGCAAAAATCTTCAATAAAATACTGGCAAACTGAATGCGACAGCACATCAAAAAGCTTATCCATCACGATCAAGTCGGCTTCATCCCGGGGATACAAGGCTGCTTCAACATATGTAAATCTATCAACATAGTCCATCACATAAACAGAACTAAAGACAAAAACCACATGATTATCTCAATGGATGCAGAGAAGGCCTTTGACAGAATTCAACAGTGCTTTAGGCCAAAAACTGTTAATAAACTAGGTATTGATGGAATGTATCTCAAAATAATGAGAGCTATTTATGACAAACCCACAGCCAATATGATACAGAACGGGCAAAAACTGGAAGCATTCCCTTTGAAAACTGGCACCACACAAGGGTGCCCTCTCTCACCATTCTTCTTCAACATAGTATTGGAAGTTCTAGCCAGAGCAATCAGGCAAGAAAAAGAAAAAGAAATAAAGGGATATTCAATTAGGAAAACAGGAAGTAAAATGGTCTCTATTTGCAGATGACATGACTGTATATTTAGAAGACCCCGTTGTCTCAGCCCAAAATTTCCTTAAGATGATAAACAACTTTAGCAAAGTCTCAGGATACAAAATCAATGTGCAAATATCAGAAGCATTCCTATACAGCAATAACAGACGAACAGAGAGCCAAATCATCAGCAAACTCCCATTTACAATTGCTACAAAGAGAATAAAATACCTAGGTATACAACTAACAAAGGACGTGAAGGGTCTCTTCAAGGAGAAGTACAAACTACTGCTCAAGGAAATAAGAGAGGACACAAACAGATGGAAAAACTTTCCATGCTCATGGTTAGGAAGAATCAATATTGTGAAAATGGCCATACTGCCCAAAGTAATTTATAGAGTCAATGCTATGTTCATCAAGCTACGATTGACCTCCTTCACAGAACTGAAAAAAACACCTTAAACTTCATATGGAACCAAAAAAGAGCCTGTGTAGCCAAGAAAATCCTAAGCAAAAAGAACAAAGCTGGAGGCATCACGCTACCTGACTTCAAACTATACTACAAGGCTACAGTAATCAAAACAGCATGGTACTGGTACCAAAACAGAGATATAGACCAATGGAACAGAACAGAGGCCTCAGAAGTAATGCCACACACCTACAACCATCTGATCTTTTCAAACCTGACAAAAACAAGCAATGGGGAAAGGATTCCATATTTAATAAACGGTGTTGGAAAAACTGATTAGCCATGTGCAGAAAGCTAAAACTGGGCCCCTTCCTTACACATTATACAAAAATTAACTCCAGATGGATTAAAGATTTAAACGTAAGACCTAACACCATGAAAACCCTAGAAGAAAACCTAGGCAATACATTCAGGACACAGACATAGGAAAGGACTTTATGACTAAAACACCAAAAGCAATGACAACAAAAGCCAAAATAGACAAATGGGATCTAATTAAACTTAAGAGCTTCTGCACAGCAAAAGAAACAATCATTAGAGTGAACTGGCAACCAACAGAATGGGAAAAAAATCTTTGCAATCTACCCATCTGACAAAGGGCTAATATCCAGAATCTACAAAGAACTAAAACAAATATACAAGAAAAAAAAACTTCATCAAAAAGTGGGCAAAAGATATGAACAGATGCTTTTCAAAAGAAGACATTTATGTGGCTAACAAACATATGAAAAAATGCTCATCATCATTGGTCATTAGAGAAGTGCAAATCAAAACCACATTGAGATATCATCTCATGCCAGTTAGAATGCTGATTATTAAAAAATCTGGAGACAACAGATGCTGGAGAGGATGCGGAGAAATAGGAATGCTTTTGCACTGTTGGTGGGAGTGTAAATTAGTTCAATCATTGTGGAAAACAGTGTGGTGATTTCTCAAGGATCTAGAAATAGAGGTGCCATTTGACCCAGCAATCTTGTTACTGGGTACATACCCAAAGGATTGCAAATCATTCTATTATATAAAGACGATTTATAGATTCAATGCACATGTATGTTTATTGCAGCACTGTTTACAATAGCAAAGACTTGGAACCAACCCAAATGCCCATTAATGATAGACTGGATAAAGAAAATATGGCACATATACACCATGGAATACTACGCAGCCATAAAAAGGGATGAGTTCATGTTATTTACAGGGACATGGATGATTCTGGAAAACATCATTCTCAGCAAAGTGACAGAAGAACAGAAAACCAAACACCACATCTTCTCACTCATAAGTGGGTGTTGAAAAATGAGAAAACATGAACACAGGGAGGGAAACATCACACACTGAGGTCTGTTGGGGGATGGGGGGCTAGGGGGGTATAGCAGGAGTTGGGGAGATTGGGGAGGGATAACATTGGGAGAAATACTGAACGTAGGTGATGGGGGGATGGAGGCAGCAAACCACCGTGGCACATTTATACCTCTGTATCAGTCCTGCAAGATCTGCACATTTACCCCAGAACTTAAAGTAAAATTAAAAAAAATATGTTCTATATAGGGCCAAAAACTAGATTCGTGGTTTCCAGGGGCTGCAAGAAGAAATTGGAATGACTCCTAATGGATTTTTTTTTTTTTTTCAGGTGAGTGGTGAAAATATTCTGAAATTAGAGTCAGTGAATATACTAATGGCAACTGAATTATATACTTTTAAAGACTGAATGTTATGGTATGTGAATACAGTTATTGATATGCAAGTATTTTCTAAAAAGGCAATGAGATATTAGTCCCTTGCAGTGCTTCAGGATCAACGGTAAAACAAAACAGTTTTTTGACACTGAGGAAACATGGTTCAGTTTGGGTAAATTTTAGGTGAATGGATGTGGGTTAAAGCAGCTGTGACTGTGGCCCAGAACCCCTTCTCTAGCTTTTGGAGGACAATAAACTGAGGGAGAGGGCAAAAGGCAGCAATGAAAAGTGGAGAGGTAAGAGAGAAGGAGACTAAAGAGAGAGAGGCATAGCCTGGGATAGAAGCTACCTCACTCTTAATGAAGGGAATAGTTGAGGTCATAAAGATTCCTTACGTCTCTGTGAGAGATCAGAAACTGGCCTGATAATGATTTCCTTCCAACAGGGACAGAGCATAAAAAAGTATGAGTTTCAGCAAGGGAAGGGATAGGCAGGTCTTAGTATTAAGGCTTGCCTGAGCAGAATTTTCTTCATTCATGCTAAATCCACTAAGTACACATGCATGCACATACCCACACACTGCAGACAGACAGAGAGAGAGAGAGAGAGAAAGAAAGAAAGATTTGGTGTAATGTTTCATGGTGGTCAAATTAATCACTTGTTGGAGAAAATGATGGCATAACTCTCAGCAGGCTGCAGCAAAGTTAAACCTAAAACATCAAGACTCAATCACCCAGGCTGCAAACCCCGTTGTCGGATGGCCCTCTTCCTTCTCTTGGGCTCCCAACCCCATCTAGATAGTCATCACGGTTTGTTGGTTTGTTTTTTTCTCATCTAATGTACCTCAGATGTGTCCCTTTATTTTCAATCCTTTTAGGACTCTATCAGACCAGGTGCTCATCAATTCACGCCTGAAAAGCAACACAAACTAACTAATGGGTAGAAAGTAAAAGTGTTAGTTTAAGAGCTAAATAACTATTCATTCCATCTTAGGTGAAGAATCTGTGTTTGTTTTAAACACCTTAATGGGTCATTTTGATTGCTCAGAGATTGTCCTTGGGGAATGGTTGGAATAAGCCTAGAGCTAAACTGCTCGCCTTGAGAAATTAGCAGTAATGGTTTGGTCTGGGGATTTGTAATCTGAGAGAAAGTATGGAGAAAATCAAAAAAGAAAGAATGAGAATTAACATCAGGGAAACTCAAGCCCTAGTATAATGCCTAAGGCACTTTTAAGGTTAGAGATGCCCACTATTTAATTTCAAGTTGTTTACCATTTCATTGCAAGTCCAGTCATCCCTTGATATTGTAGGGGATTGGTTTCAGGTCCTTCTGTGGATATCAAAATCTGTAGATGCTCAAGTCCCTGATATAAAATGGCATAATATTAGTATATTACCTATGCACATCTTCTTGTATACTTTAGTGCTCACCTCTAGATGATTCACAATACCTAATACAATGTAGTTAAAATGTAAATAGTTTTTATACTGTATTGTTTAGGGAATAATTACAAGAAAAAGTCTGTACATGCTGAATACAAAGGTAATATTTTTGAATATTTTTGATCTGCAGTCAATTCATGAACAACAGAATCCACAAGTATGGAAGACTGACTGTACTTTGTCCTTCTGTAAAATCTGTGCATACACAGTTATTCGTAGTAAATGGGGAAGTGGAAGAAACAAGGAGTGGGAGGCTGACACTGCAAAAATGGACTCACATACCCAGAAGGCATGAGAAGGTAATAAGAACATGATGGAAGTAGAAACTCACAGATAGAAGTAATCAACAGAAATATAAGCATCAAGCCTTCCCCAGAATCTCCTAAATTCTAAAGGGTATGATGACCTCAGCAAGCCAGAAGGCTTGGGGCCAGGCAGGGCCTAAAATCTCAATCACCGCATTAATTATCAGATACTTACCTATTGCTCTTCCACTTTTGTTCTTCATCCTTCTCCATATTTTTCCTCATGCTTTGTGCCCCGGGAAACTGACATCATTAATGATCTTTCTTATAGCCTGACTTCCTGTGTTCCACCTTTAAGAAGTCCTGGCAGGAGATCTGTGAGAGGAAGGTGAATGAGGTCAGGGTGTTTATTCACTCAGCTCACTCCCTTCAGGGTCTCTGTGGGATGGCTAAATTCACAGTACTCAATTGATAACTCTCTCAGTATCTCCCCCTCCCATCAACTAACTTTGCCCACTTCCTCTCCTCCCTCCTATAGGACTAGGAGTAGTAATAACCTCACCATTATTCATCTGGGGTCCTCTACTAACCCTTGTGATTTTCTTACACTCTACCCACATCTTTCATAATAGTCCTTTTATTATAATTTCCTAAATTGTCTAATATGAATGTGCCATCTGTTTTTTGCTACCACCCTAATACACTCATTAGCCTTCAAATCCATTATTAATTTGTTAATTATGACCACAACCTTATGAGGTAGATATTGCTATTAACCCTATCTTACAGATTTGCAAAAATGAGACAAAGAGAGTTTAAGTAACATGCCCAAGGACCTTCTGACTCTAGAGCTTTGGCTTCAATACACTATATGGGTTTGTTTCCTTTTTTTTCCACTCTGGTTGCTCCCCTGCATCCAGATTCCAAGCAATCTGATACACTTTGACCAGTTTATTCTTCCTAAAACATTCATCCAAGCCTCTCTAGGATCTGGCTCCTGTCTATTTTTATCTCCCCCTGCTTCTTCACTGTACAAGTCTTCCAGACAAGCTAAACTGAGCTATTCAGTTTTCCCTGAACGCACCTTATTAGTCCTACCTCATTCTTGTACTCATAAGGTGCCCCAATCCTGGATTTCCTTCCTCACCTCAATACCATATTCTTCTCTGCTGTTTCCAAATTTTCCTTTTACTTTGTGGTCCAGCTGAAATCTTCCTTCCTCCATAGAGTCTGACTAATCTTATTCTGCTACTTTCTAGTAAGTGACCTTCAGCAAGTCATGCTAACCTCTCTGAGTCTCAGTGTCTTTGAGTGTTAAATTCATATCAATTGTTGGTCCACTGATCTCAAAATACGGATATTTACTGATCTCAAAATGGCCACCTAACCTAGGGACTCTTCTGTTCAACAATTTGTTTAAGTTTTCACATTGTTTCCTTGTGTTAAATATCTGCATATCTTTTTATGATTGCATAATATATGAACCCCTTTCCAATTTGAGGGACTTGTCCATTGCATACATCTTGATGGAAGAAAAGGCCCTGCCTCTCACTACAGAGGCCAAGAGGAGCCAAACATTCCTACTCCCTGCTCCCAACAGATAGGATACAGGCACATGACCTACGTTCAGCCACGTGACCTAGGTGTTTAGCTCCTTCCCAGGACTTTGAATATGGAGGAAGTGGATACAGGGGCAATTGGAAATTTCTCACTAGCCATAGTTTCACCATCCTCCCCAGGCTATAGCACGATTTAGTATTAATAGTTTGAGAACTTTAGTGTGCAACAGAAACTCCTTGGCATGATGTACAGGTGTGGGGGTGGGGGTACGGGGAGTGTTTTTGTTAAAATACAGTTTCGTGTGCCCTGCATTGACCTGCTAAATTAGGATCCCTGCGAGAGGGGCATAAGAATATTTTTCACAAACTCCTAAGAGTCTTGATGATGATGATACCCACTAAAGTTTGAAGACCACAGCTCTAGGAGATCTGTAGATAATATGTTATTTGAGCCATACTCATGCTTTCCTTCTTTACCTGTAGCCATTCAGTATCTCTCATTATCTGCTTCTACAGAAGATTAGATCTACTTTCTCTTCAGAGTCTTTTGCTTTATTTTTTCTCTAAGAATACTCTTTACATAACAACCCCCTCAACATACATTAAATACCCTTCCCCCCACACACACATCCTGCTCTGACATGGTCAGAGGTAAACAGGGCTTACATGCCATCAATCATTCCTCTTATTTCTAATTCCTCTAAGAGCAGGAATTTTCTCAGCTTACATAAACCTCTTCCAAGTTTCCAGTCTTGTAAGAATTTAATTTACATTCTTGCCATAGCGTAATTGGAAATGATGACAACTTTCAGTGCACTTTGCAAAACTTTCGTTATTTCTTTCACATAAATCCTATCAATTTTATGGGCATCTTTAATTTTTTGGTTTAGTGTGAACTGGGTTGATGGTATGAATTTATCTCAATCAGTGCTTCCAATCCTTTATCATACTAATATTAACCACCTGGTTTCATAGGTCATTCTGATTACATCTCTTTCCCAAGGCATTTGAAAATCTCTCCCCAGTGTCTGATCTTTCTTTATATACTGGAGAAAGACATTACTGTCTCTGCCATAGATATTTTCAGGGGCACTTACATTCTTCATAAATTGGATCTTTTATCACTTCGAATAGAAAACCATATTCAGGTGTCTTCTTGCCACACCTCATGTCTTTTTGACATTTTTATTACAATCTTGGGTAAGTTAAAAATTAACATGGGTCTCTGTTCCTACTCTAAAAGAAGAAGATTGAAATTAAAGCTCTCTAAAGGACCTTCTAGATAGTTTATCCCTACAAAGCACTGGGTAGTTAGACATCAAAACTCAGCACTGGGAAGCAAATAAGAAAGTTTCAGCAAACCAAAACATCCTTGAATGTTATAGAGCAAGGCTTATAAAACTTGCCTCATACCAAGGATATGTTTAGAAGATTGCTTTTTAAATGATGATTCTCTGCACTCCCCCATGCACATAGATTCTAATTCAGCAGGTCTGGGATCAAGACTGGAAATTTACATTTTTAAACAAGGGCACCAAGAAATTCTTATAAACAGGTAAGTTTAGGAGACACTACTAAAAGAATAGAATTTGCTGCAGAGTTCTGTTTATAAGCTTTATTTTTTATTGAAGTATGACATACATACAAATTGCATTTTTACGAAGTGAACATACCTGTGTAATCAACACCAATCAAGAAAAAGAACAGTACCAGCACCCTAGAAGTTCCCCAATGTGCCCATGTGCCTTAACTACTTCATCTAATAGTTGCCACAATTCTCATTTCTTCCATCCAAGTATTAACCAGGCCCAACCCTGCTTAACTTCTGAGATCAGAGGAGACTGGGCACATTCAGGGTGGTTCAGGGTGGTATGGCCATAGACAACACAATCCTCATTTCTAAAGTGTTGATTGGTTTTGGCTGTTTTTGGACTTTCTGTAAATGGAATAAAATACCATGTACTCTTTTGTGTTTGATTTCTTTCACTTACTGTAATTTTTGTGAGATTTGTGTTCCTCCCTGAATGACAGTTGGTTATTCTTATTGCTATTTTATTGTGTGAATATACTACCATTAATTTATCCATTCTATTGTTGAATTGTTTCTATTTTTGGGTTACCATGAATAATATGACTATAACCTTTCTTGTACATGTCTCTTGGTGCACAAATCCACTCATTTCTTTTAGGTATATACTCAGGAATGGAATTGCTGGGTCACTGGATATGTGCATTCTTAGCTTTAGTAGATATTGCCAAACAGTTACTCAAAGTGGTTTTACCAATTTTCACTCCCTTGTGCAGTGTATGAGAGTTCCAGTTTTCCCACCTCCTTGCCAACACATGGTTTTGTCAGTCTTTGATTTTAGGTATTTTATTGAATGTGTAGTGGTATCTACTCATAGATTTAATTTGCATTTCCTTGATGACTAATGAAGTTGTTACTCCAGGGTTTTAAGACCTAAAGAAAACTAGCTCAGATAACAGCATGATAAGCATGCCATTAATCAAATTTTGTTTTCCTGACAGTTAGTAGAGTATATGCCACACATGAGGTGTTAAATAAATATTTGTTGGATGAGTGTCCAATGAATAAAAATAAAGGAAAGGATGTTTAACTACCGCTTATAGCTCTTCAGTTGCCTTCACCAAGCCTTCAGAGCTTTGTTGAAGGGAACAGTTGTGGAAAACCATTATTTGATGATGTAAATGATCACAGCTCTTCAACAATTCAGCGTTATTTATATGAAGGAGGCTAGGCTTTAAGGTAAGTTATTAATAATTAAAAGGCCAGATTGGATAGTGAAGGATCAGTTGAGAATTACAGTGGAGAATTAATAAGTAGGGACTAAAATGTAACCTTCTTGTTTACGTTTATTTAAATTGTTCCATGTACTGTGTATATTTCATATATATAATTAGAGCCTAGTGAATACCAGTATTTTAGTCATTTTCAACAGATATTTATTGAACACCTACTAGATACCAGACATTGTGTTAAATCACGGTAAAATGGAAAGGGTATAGGCTTTGGACATCAGTACACCTGGGTTTGAATCCCTGATATTCTGTAAGTTATTCGGCCTCTCATAGACTTAACTTCCTGATTTATAAAACAGAATTGTAATGCTTATCATGCAGGTTGTTGTGAGGATTAAATAAAGGAAAGCATGTAAACTGCCCAGTACATGAAAGGCACATAATACCTTAGTTTTCTACAGCACTTATCAGAGTGTGATTTATAGTATAATAGTATGCATTCTTCCTTCCCCTTCAGATTGTGAGTTCCTTAAGAGGAGGGAGAATCCCACTCATCTTTGTAGCTTTCAGGCCCTAACAGAGTGCTTGGCATGTACTAGAAATTAAATAAATATTTGCAGAATTAAAGATCCACTCCCTTCTTCTGTCCAGAAACTTATAAGCCAATAGGAGAGCTAAGAGATTCACATAAAATATAGTAGAAGGCAGAATGTAATGACTAGCATGTGAAAGGTACCAGCAAAGTGCTTTGGAGGTTGAGAAGAGAGAATCAAAAATGTCTGAATGTCTGACTGTGTAGATCAAAGAAAGCTTCATGGAGATACCTTGAAGGATAAGTAGAATTTTTAATAGACAAATATAATAGGAAGGACATTTTAAGCAGAGGGATCACGGTTAGCAAAGATTGTGAAGTATGTTAGAATAAAATATAAGCTTTTTATTTTAAAAGTTTTATATTTTCAGAAAAAATGCAAAGCTAGCACAGAGAGTTCCCACAGACTCTGCACCCAGTTTTCCCTGTTTTAACATCTTACGCTAGTATGGTATATTTGTCAC